AATTGTACATTCCCAAAGATATTGAAGTGTTATTTTCTATATATTGTTGTGTTTTTATCTTAATATGTATATATATATGTACAAATGTGTTGTATATAGGAAATACATATTTTATATATATTGTTATACATATTTGTATTTGGGATTGTGGGAAATAGTATTTTGTGATGTCTGTACACACAAACTGAAAGATTGACAATAAAGTTGACTTTGACTTGAGATACAAGAGGAAGGACTGATGAGGGAAGAAGAGGGGGGGGAAGGAGGGTAGATGCATGAAAATGAGCTAACGACAGCGAGGAAAGAAAGGAAGAAGATGGGCATAGTGAGGGAGGAAAGAAAGGGACAGACACGCAGAGAGAAAGCCTTACCAGGTGGTCTGATTCCCATGTGCTGCTGGCCGTCCATGACGAAGCCCCCCATCGGCTGGCCATCTGGATTGTAGGGAGGTCCTTGACTTACTGTGGATGGAGGAGGAGACAGAGGGAGGGAGGGAGGGGACGGAGTGGTCAATTAGTACTTTTAATTAAGGCTCAGTGGCCGAAGCGGGATCATCTGTTGGCCGGTGCACGCACAGGGAGCCTTGCTGCTCCGAGTCGGCCGCACTGTAAGCCCCTGGTAGACTTTAATGCGTCTAAATGCTCTAATAGGGATCGGACTGAGAGAGTACAACACACACTACAGTTCACAAAGGTGAGACTTGAGCCATCTGGAAGAAGTGACAACCAATGACTGATAGGAAGCCAATAAAAATGACTGCTTGTGTGGGGAGAATGATTGTTTTATTTACTACTTAACCTACATTTCTTATCTTTTTAAGTAGCTGTAAGGTTGTAAAAATCATCTTAATTCTCACGGTTTGGGTTTGATAGTATAATATGTTGTGTTAGGGTTCATCATTGGATCTCTAGACTAATTGAAATATTAAAATGTGGAGATTTCTTTTTTTTTCATGTTAATTGATTGATACATTTATTTCGAACAAGTAAAATAAATAATTACAAAACAAAACAAATGTTGCAGTGCATAGTCATGTAAGAGAAATCAAAACAAAAAATGACATTTACAACAACAACAACAACAACAACAACAACAACAGCATTAGCAACATAAACGGTGCCACATCTAGTGTTCGAAAAGGAGTGAGAAGAAGTATAATTTATTTAATCTCACCCCCTTGTCCCTAAATGATTTATTTATAATCTATAATCTGCAATAATTATTATTATTAATAACAAGTTCATGAAGCATTTACAATATTTCTTTTTTTTATAAACTTTAATAATATTCCCCAGAATAAAACAATTTATGAATTTCAATCCAAAACGTTGCTGCTGTATAATGCAAAGTTAAAATAGTTTTATTCAGACAATACTTATCACGACTTGTTATGTAGAATAAAGGACCCTTTGGCTTTTAACACTGCTATATTCATGGCCTTAGACCTAATTGCTGCTCCTATTAATGTATGATTACACACATGATCAAAAGAATCAAATGAGTCCCAGGCTGAAGCTCTGATAATTTGTGTCAACAATAAGTCATTCTTGCTGAGTGGCTTCAGAATCCGCTCCTACCTAAATGCTCTTTCTAATAAATACTGCCTATAACTGAGCAGCTACGATAAGTGAAACCTGATAGGGTTCCTATTTTTTCCCTCGCCTCCATTGTTCTGCTCTCATAGAAATCCACTTACCTTCGATTCAGGCTGTTTGGGGGTCAGTCAAGCAAAAGCAAGACCTCGGCCCCACTGAATGCCTTTGAACTTTACTGCGCCCCTAATGCCACCCTGACCCCTGACCCCTATTACAGGTAATAAAGTTTACGGCAGTCCAAACCAAGCCATGCACCAGGGGGACCGCTCACTCCCCTCACTCCCTAAAACAGCCGCAAATAGGGTTGAGGGGGGAGTTTAAAGGAGTGAGATGGGGGGGTGGGCAAAAACAGGTCTGGAGCCAAAAAGCCAAACAACGGTCACCCAAGAAAAGAAACGGGTGTCGTTCTCTTTATGCTTTGGTTTGAGCCAGGGAGGAAGGGGTGAGTGTTTTTATTTTATTTTACTTTGCCTGGTTGGCGAAAGCGGGGAGGAAGGGGTTAAGAGCACATTTACTTAGAACACAGCTAGTGTTGTTTACAGGCTGAGAAAATAAATCCACTCGTCGTTAACTCATTTTCAGCCAAATTATTATATTGTATAATGAACAGATTCTCACCCCAAATGGCACGTCAAAGTGGATTAATGGTTGCTGTTAATGTTGTAATGTTTTGGTTCTTAATTTTAGTGATCAGTCACGACAGAGGAGGGGAAAGCCCCTCCAGGTTTTGGACATTCCAGGATGGGGTATCAGGCCTGTATTTACCAGCTGAGGGGCCTCCGGGTGCATGGATTGAGGACGGCTTTCGCCTGCGCGACTTGAATACAGTAACTAGAGGAGACTTGCCTGCACGGTTTGACTGGTCAATCATGGGCTGCACTATTCTCCTCCGGGCGTTAATGAACCTGAAGAAGATGAAGAGAGAGAGAGAGAGAGAGGAAGAAAAGAGAGGGGACAAAGAAAGAGAAACACTGTCAGTGGATTTCCCAAAACAAGATCAGACAAAAATTGCTGACTAAGACCTTGGAAATCTTGGCACACAGCTTGAAAACAAAACCAGTGCCAAAGCAGTCTCCTTCTTTAAGTAAACCATAACAGTTATATAGGGAAATTATTTTCCACTAAGCAACCCTGAGCCGGTAAAGCCCCAACAGAGTCACATCTTAGCAGCGTTACCAAGGCTTGCAAAAAGTCCACGACTTGTATAAACTTGCACAGCCTCAGCTCATATGCAGAAACATGGGCCTGAACACTGGGGTCTTTGTGGGGCGAGGCTTAACCGGGATTTTCTCCGAGCCTGTTTGAAACATGTCGACCCATCTCTCTTTGTCGGGACGTTCCACCTCACAGCGAGCTGAGATTGCTCACTCGGCTTGGAGCGTGGCAGTGTGGGAAGTGTTGCTGACAGAAACATGTCACGTTGCCTCTGGTGAGAGGCATTGTTTTGGGTGATACTCTGTTAAGACAGGTGACCATGTGTTACTCTGTGACAGCAGGAGCTTTTTTTAGTGACTGTGTGTGTGTTTTCACAGGAGCTGGATTTGGTACATACAGGCTTAGAAAAACCTCGTTTACCCCGTGACCTCCAATAAAAGCACAGGGTCAGAACATTTATTGAGCACACACACACACATGCACACACACACTGTTACTCGTATTTAAAACTGCTACTGCACACACACACACTCTTAATCTCTCTCCCTCTTCTGCGTCCATTCACACACATTCACGCCCTCGCACACACTCACACAGGCCGTGCTCTGGCCTTGCTCAGCCTAACCCCTTTTGAAATGACCTGTTGACCTGTAATGACCCCAAGGAGAGAGGGCTCTTGGGGCTTCTGACTTGATTTATGTGTTCCTGCTGTTGCCCAACCGGACACTTCTATTTCATCTCTAAAAGGGGGAGCATTAGCCGAACTTTGAGGAAACAATAGCCGTGCAACGCTGGAAGAAAGGAGCATTTAAGAGTTCTAAAGAAAGTAGAGGGACAGATACAAAAGGACACAAGCGGGTGCGTCTGTTTGACCTCTAAACAAGTGAATGGCTTTATATCTCTTAATATTCCTTCTCTAACTGCTTTATGGTGTGCTCGATAACGGACAGATAGATTTCTGTCCGTTATCTATCCTGTATCACCTTCTCCAGGCGGAGCTGCGGGGTAATGAGGAGACAGAGAGTGGCAGAGACAGATAGCAGTAGAAAGGCACAATAATTTGAAGCTTAATGGTGTCCCTGCATTGTTTTTGTTATATCTCATAATCCGCTTTAGCAAAATTGTTATATTTTCGACAGGAGCTTTCTGTGAGGTGAAACGTTCTGTGAAAGAGAAGGAAAAGAAGCGACGGGGATCTGAAGCCTTTGAAAGCTCGGTGTTTTGGTGATTTTGTTGTCTTTTCGTTACAATATGTAGAACTGGAATTTTTGGGAGAGAGACAGAAAGAGCTCGGGAGGAATGCACTGACATGGCAGAGCACCATCAAATGAGGGAACGTCTGGAGTTTTATCACCAACACCCCCTCCCTCCCTTCCTCCCTCGCTACCCTGTTTTGCTGGGGGAGATATGGGAGGAGGAGAGAGGGCAAGGAGGCCTGAGCATTCCTTTAACTCTCCTCTACAGGCCTTTTATAGAAGGACGAGGTCATATTAAGGCCAGCACTGGCTAACTGTTGACCTGTCCTTCTCCTTCCTCTTGTCTTTCCTTCCTATTGCTCTCCTGCAAAAACCTCGTCCTTCTACCTCCTTCAAAAGTACACCAGTGCGATAAGGTAGGTTGTTCTGCCAATAGGTGTGCACTTGTTAGGAAGTCTGGCATTTGTTCCTGCTACAATAGGGCTCAGAGAGGAATGTAATTGACTTGTTACTTGATCTGACCTCCCAGAAATATGGCACCAGTGCTTATTTACTCTAAGGATTAACCAGGCTATGTATCAATGAAGTCATAATCCTACTATTACTGCTACTGCTGCCACTAGGCCTACAAGTGTAGCTCCGAAAAGAACAGCTCTGCCTCCCTCTCCGTCCCCCTCTGTATCTGTTTCCTTCTCCTTATCATTCCTTCCCTGTATGGTGGAAACTGGCGGCCCACCTCCCAGCAACGAACCCACACTCTAACCCACCAAACCCCCTCCTCTTCGCAAAAACTCTCGCCGGTTTCCTGTCCCTGTCGTCCCCATATCTGAGGCCAGATGCACCATGGGGGCTGGAACAAAGGATAAAATGCCTCTCATAATAGCAGCCAGGGGAACGGAGCGATGGAGAGCGGGAGAATGGGAGGGAAGGAGGAGTGAGAGAGTGGGAAGGCAAGGGGCTCTGTTCTGCAAACCAGACACTCTCGCTGTGACCGTTAATAAGCTGACCGAGAGAGAGGGAGAGGTAGGGGTGAGGAAGAGAGAAGGGGGGAATTAGAAGAGAGGAAATAAGACTCAGAGAGAGATAGAAAGAGAGAGAAAAGCGGAGCTGCTCTATTAGGGGGAGAGAGGCTTCACCTTTGCACGACCCCTGGGTGCTATAGGGCCAGTGTTTATGGCCTGTTCGTTCCCCTGCCTCCCATCACAACACAATGAGCTGCACTATTCAGCTCCGCTCACTGCAACAATAGCTGGGCTATTTTGGCGTGACACACCACTGGTGGTACGCCTAAAGTTGGGCGAAAAACACCAAAAGACAAGCAGGAGGAAAGAAAATGACTTAGAATAAAAATGGTTGAGTTCAGGGAATGAAACACTACCAGGGGGATACGTTTGATTCCCACAAAGGGCACATGTGGTTGACATAAGCACTCACCCAGAGTGGATCGAGAAACATGCCTGCCACATGTAACGCCAGAAGTAAGCCTCTTAAAAGTCACATTAAGGAAACTGGGTTGATTTTATTCTTTGTTGTTCTGCCTTCAATCTATTTCTCCTTCTGAGATTGCTGATGTCTGGTTAATCCTCCCGCCCCTCTCCCTCCTTCTCTGGAAAGAGTGGAACTGATTGCGACGGCGTCTGCCAAGCCCTTGCTAATGTCCTATTCTCATTACACCCGGGGACACACACACACGTCCCCGACACACTGAGCCGAGGCAGCCGCACACAGGTGTACACGAAGCACACGTGAAATGCCCAATTAAAAGCAAGAAATTGTCTTTTTCATCAGCTGCCTTTGTTGCGTGACCAATTAGGGGATAATTTAATAACGAGCAGTGGAAAGATGCAGATTGGATATACAAAAGGTTACTCTGCGAGCTCGTTGATTTAAATTCATGTGGAGTTCTCAATTTCTGTAGCACACACACACTCTCACACACATCTCGAGCGTTCCACCAATATCATATTAGTAATATGACACACACACATGAACACACACATACATATATAAATACACGTCCTCTGCACTCACTGGCAATATTACATTAGTAATCTGAGAAAATGTGCACCCACACATGCACAGGCCTGCACACACGCATCAGGACCTGGTGGTGGATTTCAGTGCACGCTGACAGAGGTTTACTGTACATACATATTCAAATCTGAGAGCCGCTTAAAATAACTGTGTAACCACACACTCCTCCTAGCTGCCAATCAATGTGATTTAAAAGCACTACAAAGAAACGGGTAGAGTCATGTAGCTTATCATCAGGTTGTCACTGCGCGGCAGCATCGATTGTCTGCTGCTCAACCACAATTAACGCCTATATCCTTCCTACTAACTGGTGAACACACACACACACACACACACACACACACACACACACACACACACACACACACACACACACACACACACACACACACACACACACACACACACACACACACGCATACTGCTCTGTCGTATCTGAATTCATTATTTGAACTGAATAGTTTTTTGCAGAACACTTTTTGACCCACTTTGTTTCTTAAAAAGTGATTTGTACACAAATTAGTCTTACACACAAATGCAGTTGCCAGTCATAAATCAAGGATAGGTTTTCGTACAGCCTGTTGAATCTACCACACACACATTGTGTACTCTTTTCTCATTGTTATATCACACTTTGCATCCCTGCAGAACTTTATTATCAGATCTCCATCTTCTTAACTAATTACTTCTTTTATCACAGCTCCACGTTCTATGCACAGCAGGGGGTGGAAGTGTATGCCTCTGCATGTACCTGCATACTGCATATATATGTTAATGAGTGTACTGCATGTGGGTGTGTGAGGGAATTACAGTTATGAGTTTCTCCCCTTGTTCTCCTCATTTGACGAGTTCAATCATAAATCACCTCCTTCGTTTTACCCACAGATCTCCCTCCCACCCACCCTCTCTTTCTCTCCTCCCCAGTGTCGATCTCAGGTCAGATGCCAGGATTAGATGGCTCAGATTAGTTTGAATAAACTAAACTATATTTGGATCACAAAACATCAGTAGTTTTTCCATTTGCTTTTATTGCATTGCATGTATGAAGTTGGCAGGATTTGTATTTGGACCTATACTGCTAAAACAATTGACAAAAAAAGAGTGATTTTACAAAATCTGGTGTTGAGCAAATATATTTTTTATTAATATTTAGAAATATTTGCTATTGTGGCGGTAAAAAGGCAAGATGTGAATTAGTGATTTCTAGTGATTTTGACTTGAAACTCATTCAAACTATGTCCGTAAGACGAATTTTCAATGCAGTACCTAATATTTTGAAGAGAATGTACTTTCCTCATTTACTTAACACATGTACAAACACCTACATGTATACACAGATTAAAAAACGTACTCATCACACTCATCCAGCTACATGCACTCACCGAGAAGCATCGTTCTTACTGTTTTCCTGAAAGCTTCCTAGGCAAATCAAACAGCTACAAAAAGCTGCATGTTGCAGGTTGGTAACACTCCAACATCCTAACATACTCTTTCCCATGATCCTCTCTGCTTCTTAGCCT